AGCCGGCGGCTCTTCCGCGGCGCGGGCAGCGCCTCCTTCCCCACCGGGGTGGCCTCCCCGTGGCCGCAGAGGAGCCCGACGAGGGCCCGCGCCCCCGGGAGGTTGCAGCGGGCGGTCTCCCCCCGAGCAAGGCTCCGACACGCCGCCTGGAGAGGCGGCAGGGCCCCGGGGGAAAGGGCGTGCAGAGCGCACGGCGGGCCTAGCCAAAGCATGGCCCGGGCGGCCGCGGCGGGCTGGGGCTGCTGCTGCTGCTGCTGCTTCTCAGCCCGAAGAGGCGGCCGAACCGGCCCCGGCCAGGGAGGCACCAGCAAGGCAAGAGCCGCCCAGCCTCGCCTGCTAGGCGTCCTCCTCCTCCTTAAAGGGACCGCGGCTCCCTCCGGCCCGGACTGACGGGGCCCAGGCATGGGACCGTCCCCAACCCGTTGAGGAAACCCCTGAGCTAAAGCTGGCCCTTCCCTCATTTCTTCCTCATCCCACCTCCCCGCAGGTTCCGCAGAGCCAGCGGAGTCAAAAAGCAAAGGAAACTTTGCATTTAAAAAAAAATAAATCTTATTGACACAACCAGAGGGTGGGAATGTTAGCTTTTTTTGGACTACAACTCCCAGAATCCTGGGAGCTGTGGTAAAAACAACAACCAACCACCCATCTGGGGTTCCAACCCTTGCTTCTTCCAACGTGCTCAAAGAGGAATGCTTAGTTCTCTTCCTCCTGTTGTGAAGATTCACAACAACCCTGTGAGGTACGTCAGGTTGGAAGAAACGGGCTGGACCGAAGTCACCTAGTGAGGTGCATGCTTCTGTGGCACTAGAACATGAGTCTACCACATCCCAGTTCAGTGGGCTTAAAACCACTATACCAGTTCCCTCTTTCTTGCACAGGGGCATGGGGTAGCTCGCCCAGATAAGTTGTTATGGGCTGCCAATTCTCCTCTGATTCATGGCAACCCTATGAAATAGTTACCTCCAAAATGTCCTATCATAAATACCCCTGCTTAGCTCTTGCAAATTTATGGCCGTGACTTCCTTACAAAGTCATTCCATCTCATGTTTGGTCTTCCTGTTTTCCTGATATCTATTTTTCCGACCAAGATTATCTTTTGCAGTGAGTCCAAAGTACAACAACCTCAGTTTCACCGCTTTGGCTTCTGGAGAGAGTTTAGGTTTGATTTGATCTAGGGTCCACTGCGTGTCCACATTTCAAACAAATCAGTCTTTTTTCCTGGCAGCCTTTTTCACTGTCCAACTTTGACATCTGTGTACTGTATAGTATAATTGGGAATAATCAGTATGGATGGTGTTGGTTTTGGTTTCCAGTGACATGTCCTCGCACTTGAAGATCTTTATTACGTAGTTCTTTTATAGCTGCCCTTCTGATGTCTCCTGATTCTTGCTCGCAGCCTGCATTGAGATTTGAGCCAAGGCAGATAATTGAATTAGATGGCTTACATTTGTAGTGTACCTTTCTGTTATTTAAAGGAAAAACATGTGAAAGCAAGGTCATGCTGCTAACAACAACAAAGTTCAAGCTGAGGACAAATAATGATCAAAACATGAAAAACACCATTAAATTTGGATCGATGAAGAGCAACAGCAGTTAAACCTCAGCTAGAGGCTAAAGTGCTCTCTCAATAATAATAATAAAAATCTTTGCCTGCGCGCAGAAGGATAGTGGTGAAAGTGGTAGTATTGACTAACCTCTCTTGAGAGTCCCAGAGGCTATTAGCAGTCAGTAAGGTAAGCAGTGTTACTGAGCTTTGTGACACAGTGGTTAGACTGCAGTACTGCCATTAAAACTCTGCTCATGCTCTGCATTCAATCCCAGTGGATTCAGGTATCCGGCTCAAGGATGCCTCGGCCTTCCATCCTTCCAAGGCTAGCAAATTGAATACCTAGCTCACGCGTGGATGGGTGGGGGAATAATGTAACCCACCCAGAGAGCGCTTTAAGTGCTATGAGGAGGTATATAAGCAAGCACACTTTGCTTTTGCTTTGCTTTGTTGTAGATTTTGTTGTTATATGCTGTCAAGTTGCTTCCGGTTTATGGTGACCCTATGAATGAGCCACCTCCAAAATGTCCTGTCCTCAACAGCCCTGCTCAGTTCCTGTAAACTCAAACCTGTGGCTTCTTTTAGGGAGTCAATCCACCTTGTGTTTGGTATTCTTTTCCTGCTGCCTTCCAATTTGATGGCCTTTTCCAGGGAATCCTGCCTTTTCTTGAGGTGCCCAAAGTAGGGCAGCCTCTGCCTCTAGAGATAGTTAAGGCTGGATTTGGTCTAGAACCCACTTCTTCATCTTTCTGGCAGTCTAGGATATCTCCAAAACTCCAACACCACATTTCAAATTAATCTTTTTTTTCTTTCCTGACAGCTTTATTTTTTACTGGGAATTACAATGAAACTGCAAAAGTATGGTTCTTAGAAAACAATCTCCATTCACAGATCAATAGAAATTGGAGTATTTCACAGTAAAAGTATATGGTTATTTCCACAGTCTAAAATATTAGTGGCTGGGCATGCAGGCTATAGCTCCCCTCTGTTTTTTTCTTCTTCTTCTTCCCTTCCAGAACATGTATCTGGACGTCTATTACTTCTGAACATGGAGATTCCCAGCCGGGCCTAGCCTGCTGCTTTGTGGAATAAAATAGCCGCCTCAAGGTGTTTCACTATAATTTCTTCCTGGTCAGTGACTTTTGTTGTCACTCATCTCTCCTGAGTCCCTAAAGTAGCCTAAAAACTAGAGGTGGGGACAAACAGGGGAAATGATGAACAGAGTGGTGTGTAGCTACCCCCAAATCCTGGAAAAACAAACCAGTTTGTGGTTCGTTTTTCCAGTGTGTGCCTGGCGTGCGGGGAACCTAACCCCCTCTGCTGTCTGCCTGCCCCCTTCCCACTGTCCCCTCCCTCCCTTGCCCTGCTGCCACCTCCGCCACCACTGGCTTCTTCAGAGACAGCAGCTTCCCGTCTCTGTGCAAATGCACACCTATCAACCGAGGGAAGCCAGGCCATGGTGGTGGAGGAGGAAGAGGAGGAGGCAGAAGGACCCGTGGTGGTGGAGGAGGAAGAGGAGGAGGAGGCAGAAGGACCCAACAGGGACAGAGGGAACGGGGTCGGAGCCATCCGTTTGGCTGAAGCAAAACAAAGGGCAGAGCAGCAAAAAAGTTCAGCACTTCATTTTGTTTTGGCAAAACAGCTTTAACGAACTGAACACTAAACCAGCCCAGTTTGTGGGTTTTTTCAATTCATAGTTTGGTTTGTGCCCATTTCTATAGAAGGCCCTTCCGTCCCGTTGCCAGAGCTGAATTACGTTTCAGTTAGGAGACCCGTCAGTGTCTACGTGTGGCGTGGGGAAGGGGGTGCCGGCATCTCAGAGAGCAAAATGTTCTGGAAGACTGCTTTTGCCCATTGGAAACCATGCGACTATAGATACCTCTCCTCAAACAATATCACACCATTAAATGACATCAGGGAGAACAAGAACGGTGTATGAAACAAAATTGTTTCCTTTCTTCCTTTAAAGGTGGGGGGGAATACTTGGAGAGATTCCAAATAATTTTGTCAACAAACATTGAGCTTCCTACATAGCTTCCTATGTCTTTAATGTGCAATTTCTGCAATGACCTCATTCCAGTAAAGCACAAGGGGAGAGAAGAGCTCTTGGTAAACCAACTTCAAAGGCATTATTACTGTTTCAGCATCAGTGGTACCAAAAATAATAGACAGTGGGTCTTCAAAGGGGTGGCTCTTTGAGGGTAAAATATCCCTCTATCCTTTTATATCTTATTTGCTATGTTTATATAACACTGGAGACATCCATTCTTCTTCTCTAATAATTGAGAAGAACTTTCTCCAACTGGAAAGCTTTGATCCTTCCAGAACTGTAGCGGTCAACACAAGATGATGCATGTTTAAACAGCATGGTGGGAGCATGGACCGGATATGCATGTGTGTATTCAGAGTTACTGTAAGAATGCCCTGTATAGCATATGGGTCATGAACAGTAAATGAGGAGAGATTTGCGTTCATTGACAGAGAGGCATTCTTGTAAACTTTATGAGCTGCTACCATTGAATTAGGGCTTTATGCATTGTATCCCGTAGGCCTGGCTCACGACATCTAGATTCTTTTTGAAAAGGGATCAGTGTATGTGGAATGTTTCCAAGAATGTCTTTTGACTGCTTCTGTTCTTATTAGACAATTCGGTCTCTGCAAATTTTATTTATTAGAAAGAAAGAAAGAAAGAAAGAAAGAAAGAAAGAAAGAAAGAAAGAAAGAAAGAAAGAAATTTATCAAAGCTACATTCCTTCCTGCAGCAGCTCCAGCTGCATCTCCTTAATAAACACATTTCTCAACAACTTGAAAAACATGTTCTCACATTTTGTTCTCACACGTTTGCATGTTTTTCAACCCACATATTTCTCTGTTTTTCATATCCTCCTTCTCTGATGTTAGACACAGTGAGGTGGTGCCTTAGCAGCACTGTCCTGGAAGAAAGTCAGAACTTGGAAATGTGTGTGTATGTATTTTGGTTGTTTGTTTGTTTGTTTGTTTGTTTTGAAGGAGGGATAACTATAACATCTATGCTGTACGAAGAAGAAGTGTTTTTCTATGCTAGTTGGGGAATTCTGGGAACTGTAGTGTCCAAAAATAACATTTCTCTAGGATATACATTTACAATAATCACCATTTGCACATTAAATCTTATGGGCTTTTTCTTATAAGAAAGACTATAAGACAGAAGAACATGCCTGAAAAATATGCCAGAATGTAAGGTTGATGTGGGGTTTGCATTACTGATCCATGAGCACGATGTACAAATGCCCATAATATCCACATATTTTTAATGTTCTGATTCAACATTTTTTGTAGGCACTATTTCACAGAGATAAAAGATACTGAGTCAGGAGAGATGCCCTTCATTTCATAGTATCAGTATAGGTTAACAGTCCCAATGGTTGGGTGTGCCTGGTTATGTGCTATCTCAACCCACCATATTGAAACAAATCAACATGTTGCACTGATGTTGAGTGTGAAGGCAATGTAATTCAAAGGAACCTCCTAAGACTTGGCTAAGAATGCAAAGAAAGAAAAAAGATGCTTGCATTGTACTACAGTCAACCTCATAGAATAAATTCCTCCATTGAATTGTCACAACTTTGAGCCACAAGTGTGTGTGAGCCAGTAACAGCCTTGTCAGTTTCCTCTGAACTGACAAACTATGTCTGCAGCCAATACTTATTTGAGCTGCCTGTACTTTGTTATCCTGTTCTTTGCTTTTATGGGCTATTGGTCAATGTTTTATTTTTCTGTGTGGGGAAAGTATGCAGAACTTTTTGCAGACCTTCCATAAAAGTAAGGGATGTGACGCACACCTTCTCCATTCCAAGGCCATCCAATAATGACGAATGG